TAGTGCAAAGAGCCTCTCAATTGTGGAGCTTAACATGGATGTAGGCTATCTCTTAAAAGATAGTTGAACTACGGTAAATTCTTGCTGTTGTGGTTTGTTAGCTTTGTGATTTATTGTGTGTTTAGATTTTGGTTGTTGATTAGATTGATTTAGGTTGGAATTATAACATTAGGGTCTCAAGGAAACACTTGAACCTTAATCTAAGGGCTAATGTAAGAGTGATATGTCACCTTTATACCTAATATTAAAACTAACAATTGGTAGATAAATGTTTGTTTAGATTGTTACTTAAGTTGTTCATTATTAGAAGAATTTGGATGGATTGGTTCTTTCATTATAAAAATTGTGTCAAATTTTAATTGAGTTTATTAATTAACACTAGTTTTACACATTTATGAATTCTACCTATTTTACCAGTAGTTTTAATTATATATAGGAGTTACTGTATCCTTCTGTTGAGAAATTCCTTTTTTGAATTCAGTGTTTTGAATCTACTCTAGAAAAAAATTAAAAAGTTACGCATCAAAGTACCCAAAAAGTTCCGAAGGTTTTTTTCCCAAATTTGTCTAGACATTTGAACAAGGCCTGACGAAAATGGTCATGACCCGACAACACGAACACATTCGTCAAAAGCCGGTTTGGTTTTAGCTTTAATGGTTAGGGTCATTAATAAGTCAACATGTTAGTAACTCGTTTCATAACTGGGTTGTATTAGGGTTTTGTCTTAAAAAAGTGTTTGACTAGTTCAACTTTGAATTTATTAATTATAGATTTTAAAAAGTAAAGTAAATAAGATATCATATTTTGATTATTTATTTTATTTTCTAAAATTTTAAGCTAAAATCTCTAATGTTCCTCCTAATTTCTATTGTTATTCAAAGTCACAAAAAGTTTCATTTTCTATCTCATAGTCATCATTTTCAAATTCAATTAATATGAATAATATTGCTTTTAAATTTTTACTTATGAATTTATAAATTAACGGTAAGATGTGAAAGTGTAATGCTTTATTAATATTTGTACATAGTTCAAAGATGAAACTTTAGCGGAAAAATAAATTATATTTTATACATTGCATTGAAATTTGAGAATGAGACTTAATATTGCATTTTTTTTTTCTTCATATTATTAGGTTTGTAAAAAAAAAAAAAAAAAAAAGGTTAATAACAATGTGTGTGAGTATATGATTATGAAGTTTATATACATTTCAATATTTATGTGTTTAGATATATAAATTATTATACATTTATAAATTTTTTTGGAAGAGTTCAATCGAATTATATTTCATTGTTCAATTATAAAAATTTATAGAAAATATTAGCAAAACTTTATTGGGTTGGGTTTGATTAACACGATAAAATAACATTTGGGTTCGGGAATTAAGATTTAGACCCAATAAGCTAATGAGTCGGATTTGATTTGAGAAAACATAACACGTCACGAAACTGTTGCAACACAAACAATTATTAGGTATTCTAAACACCAAAGTGCCTTTCAAAAAATTACGAAGAAACTTTTTGAGCCACTCAAATTACTTTAGGAGTAGGAACATATTATTTAGAGCCTATTAAGGGTGGTCTGACTTTCCTAGTCTCCTGCGATTGATAATTTGCATCATTCTGAAATTGGAACCCCCCAAAACTATATCTCTTCTAAAAACGATTTTCTCTAAAAGCATTGTCATCATTTTTTAAAAATATTTTTAAATTGAACATATAAAATTAGTATATTTGTGCGATTAAATTTTAGAATAGAAATCATCGTAGTCATTCAAGGTTTAAAAAAAAAAAGTGTTTTTTTTTAATTAAATATTAATATGTAAATACATTTTTATATCTTCATTTACATTAAAAATTTGTTTCACCGACTAATTAAGTGGGTTCTAAATAATATAACCCTAGATAAGATTTGGGTGAGAATATATTTTCGTTACGTTAGTTTGCCTAGTAAAACATTCCTTGTATTTAGGGTGTGTTTGGTTTTGACAATGTTATATTACTAAAAAGATAGGATTATTAGTGAGATAGATAACCTTGAAGATTAATTATTATAAATTATTATTGTGTTTGGTTCGTGTAGACTGTATAAATAATTAATGTGTTTGGTTGGTAGTAATTACAAAATACTTAAATATTATTTCACTGAAATACCCTTTACAAGATTAGTGGGTACAAATTAATACTGTGTTTGGTTAAACAATTATACTTTTGGCAAAGGTATATATGAAGGATATTTGAATACGCACGTATTCTATCCATAATCCATGAACAACATCCAACTTTGTGTAATACTGGTATTTTCCATCAAAGGTCTTGTGATGACCGTCGACCATTTCCCACTACGCTTCACTTGCTGCTAAAGTTGTTTCTTTCTTTTCTTGCCCCATCCAACCAAATCACACCCTTCCACCTCCAATCGCCACCCAAGCCAACACCAATCAATTGCCCCCTCCAACAATAGTCCATTTCAACCCAATTCTTCATGGGCGACAAATTACATGTCACCTACTCCAAGTCCCCGTTCACACTTCCCTACACTCACCACAATGTGGAAGGGGATAGTCCGGAAATCTTGCTTCTAATTGATTTGATCAAGAAGGGTCAAGCCCAATGGCACCTTTGCCTTGAGAGTTTTTTTTTTTCCCAAATACAAAATGTCTTTTCATGCCGTCAAGTTCATTGCCACACGTGTGTGGATAACTTATGGACTTCGACAAGTCTTATCCAAGGGGAACCGTTCTACTTCCGTTTCAAGGAAGAAGCCGCCCTTCGCTCAGTTTTAGTAGATGGCCCCTAGATGTTTGGGGGAAAACACATCATCCTACTTCAATAGCAACCCTATGAATCTCCTAGATCTTCCTGGGTCACTAAAGTCCCATTCTAGATCTGATTGTCAGGATTGTCTTTTGCTCTATGGTGCATAAGATGTAATTGGTCGCTCGTTATTGTGCAACCAATCGACCTATGAGTTCACCTGGCTTGATTATGTTTAGGTGTGTGTGGAGATCGACGCTGCCAAGCCTATCCTGCATCGATTTACTTTCACGAGTGAGAGCGAATCAATCCCAGTTGATGTCGAGTATGAATAGAAGCCGAAGCAATGTCCAAAATGCTATGAGTTTGGCCATGTTTGTCACTTACCAAAGGCAGCTCCTAAGCCTCCTAAGGCCCCTGAGGAGGCCACATTGAGTGTTCCTCATCCGAGCCCTTCTAGGGCCTCAAATACCCTTCTCGTGAGCACCAAGCTCTCGAACAACCTTGGGACAGAGATCGCCTCAACTTCCAACCCGAAGGATTTACCCAATGGGTGATTTGATAATCGAGGCTCTTAACCTTTTGCCCTCCAAAGCCCTAAAAAGGGTGGCGAGGGATCATTCGAGCAATGACTCCTCCGTGGACAACCGAGAAGGGCCGTTAGCCTTAGTTCATGTTGCCCCCTGCAACATGAATGTTGACGCAACTTTATCCAGTGATTGGAACGGCTGTTTCCCTTCCTTTGCTGAAGACGTCGAGGTGGACCTTCACTTTGACATGGAGTGGCCCATGCTCTAGTCCCAGTCCCCTCGCCCTCCAGATCAGTCAACATCGAAGGGTAAGAAGAGCAAAAAGAAAAGGCAGAGATCCTAGTTACCATTTTCCCTTTGTTGAGCCTACTTGCTCGTTTCTAGGCGTATGTACCTTTTTTTCTATGCCTGCGTGCTCTTTTATGGACATCTATGGCTTTTTTAGCCTATGTGCTCTTTTCCAGGCGTCTATGCCTTTTGCTTCTGAGCCTGCGTGCTCCTTTTGCTTTTGAGCCTGCATGCTCTCTTGCTAAGGCATTTATGCTTGTGTTTTGTTTACCTTTTGGGCTTTTTGGTTCAGCCGATCGTGTTACTTTATAACCGTTTTCTTTTGGATATATGGGATACTCCACGGCCCACAATAAAAGGCGCCTTTTTATTATGAGACCATGGGCTATCCCTCAACTACCCCGCCCTTGGGCCGTCGGGCAAGGGGTTTTTCCATGTGGCCCACTCATAGGAATATCCCCACCCTTGCAAGTGGGTTTCTTTCACCTTCCCCACCTCTCGAACACAAGACCTGCAGGCTAAGTACTTGTGACAAGCTAGCCTGATGGTACTCACCTTTCTTGTCACAAGTACTTAGCCTGCAGGTCTTGTGTTCGAGAGGTGGTGAAGGCGAAAGAAACCCACTTGCAGGGGTGGGGATATCCGGATTGATGGAGGCCCAAGATGATGGGTTGCATGTGGAAAGCCCCTTGCCCGCAGTAGGGTAGTTGTGGGATGGCCCATGGTCCAGATGACAGGGTCTCACATTAAAAAGGCACCTTTTTATTGTCATGACCGGGGGCTATCCTCCATCTTGCCCTACTGCAGGCTCAGGTGATTTCTTAATGAGTCAAATCTTATCTTTATTCATATTTGGGCAAATAATTTGTTCAACTCAGACTTTTTTCTTAGATTACACCAATTCAAAGTATGAAATTGAATATACATTGCCATGCATATATGAAACTATATAATCACTCGCATTTATTTCTGGTTGAGAAATAAATTAGCTTCCCATTTCATAGGAGATATTCTATAACACATGAATTTCATTTCCTTCAACAGTAAATGGAAAAGTTATATTTTACAAATAAATTCATAAAATTATCTACTCTCTTGTTGATTATTTCTTGTTACCTTATCCACTGTTTCTAAATTCCTCCAGATCAACCCATCAATCCAACACAATTCAACTATATATTGCATCGTTCTTCAACAATTATGCACTTACTATGTAGTCTCAGAAAAAGTAAAACCAAACATAAACAAATCCACAAATCACTCAACACAATGTCAGACAATAGTTTGTCAAGGAAGGATTGTAAGTCTTCGTGACCAAACCAATCCTCCTTCATATGATGTGGCGAAAAGAAAATAAATAAAAAATACACAAGCAATTAGAGTCTTGCTGGCAGAATATGACTTAGAACAAATATATAAGTATCAGTATAAGCAAGACTACATAACTTACAAAGTAAGGGTAGCCCTTAGTAACGCAAAAATTCATTGGGACACATTGCACAAACTTACTTATATAAGAAAGGACAAAATATCCGCAATCAGTTTTGTTCCTTTGCTGAGGAACCTGGGTTCAATTAAAGTTAGTTACCTGAGAGAGACATGAAAACTTGGAACCGAAATATCAAATGGTAGAGTAAAAGTGTTTTCACCTCAGACACCATGAGAGGATTTTGAGCAACCATGTCCTTCTTTTCAGGGATTGTTTCCGCTTCATAAATGTCCAGGGCAAACCTGCTAAACAAGTTGTTGGCTGAAAATGGTGCCCACTTGAAAAAAAATTCAACAGAATAAAATATACATTATGAAGTTTCGAAACCTTACTTTCTTAACAAAGGTTCAAACCCCATTGGGTTAGGCGGTTAGCCATTCGAACTGAATCTAGCAATAACATGCAGTGAGTTATAGGTTGTGATCGTGATCTTCCACCAAAGTTTCACAAGTTCAATAGATTCTAGTGACCCCTAGATGTATTGAAAGTCAAAATTTTAGCACCACAATTAGCAGGAGTCAAACTGGTTAAACGTGTGTAAATATCATAACACCTTTACTTACCATAAGACAATGGGAATGAATACATACTTATTTGAGAATATCTCTTATTTCTTAATCCATTTTAGCACCTTCAATCTGTGAGATTATATTGTGTATAGATAAAACCACATAGAGTCCAAACATTTAAAATCTTGGTCCTACTGACAACTAGTTTCAGAAACCCAAACTCAAACCCAACCAATTCAAACAAATCCGCTCTAACAAACAAACAACAATCAAGCCACAACCCACAATCAACAAAACAACGAACGCGCGCAGAGGCAGTCGCGTGAGCAAGGAGGTTGGTGAGGCAACAATCGATGCGATCTATCCAAGGAGACAGCAAAGGCGCACAATTTGGTATGACCCATGGTGCACGAGTCAGGCACACAACCGAGGTGCAGGCGCAATCGATCGTGGGAATGGGAGGTATGAACAGAGGCAACGACAGAGGAGATAGAATATTGGAGGTAAAAAACAACGGTAGCGAGAGCGAAGAAAAGTTTAGAGGGGAAGGGAAGGAGAGAAATTGACTCGGAGATTAAGAGAGAAACGGAGAGGATGAGAAAGAGGAAGGAAACAAGAGCGGATTGGAGAGAAGCGAAACAATGGATGAGGGTGTGACCCTTGAGGAAAAGTTTAGAGTCAGAGGAAATGAAGCATTGATGAGCGAAGGCGATGAGGAGACAGAGAATGAGGAGGAAGATTTAAGAGGTGTTTGAGACTGTGGTGGTAGTGAGGTAAAGGTAAGGGATGGTAGGATTTGGCAGATTAAGATTGGGGGACTTTGAGATGGTTATGAGTGGTGCAAATCATGTGGTACTAGTAGAAGAAGGAATGCATTTGTTTTAGGAGAATATAGGATCTCTTTCCTCTTTGGGATCAAATCCTATTCGTATTCACTTTCTAATTTCAATTGACTTCCTTATTCTTCATTCAATTTTGATTCTACTTCCTATTTTGGAGAATATCTCTTGGATAATTTGCTTAGGGTGCAAGTTATATCAAATAGAGAAATTATGTTATTGCTCTTGGGAAATTTGGGAACTACAAATGTTTTTAATTAATTGCTAATATAAACATTCTTATCGAGTCTCATACTTCACCAAACATAAGACCATATTATTATAATCAAATCATATCCTAATCCAATCCTTTCCCAAAGTTAATCCAATCCAATCTTATTCCACCTCCCAAACGCAACCATAGTGAATAAAAGCCCAATACTAGATTTCTTTCTTGTTTTCTATTATTTGCAATTTTCTAAAAAGAAGATAATTGAGAAGAGAAAGAGGAATAAAGAAAAGAAAACAAAGCATAGAGATTTTAGAGGAAACAAATCATGAATGGACTGAAACAATAATAGTGATAAATTATCAAACAAGATTTGAGTCCACAAAGTGCTTAACCATGTTGAAAGTTTTAAACTCTTATCATGTTGATTAAAACTTATGTGGAATTAAAATTACTTGTTCACGTTGTGCTTAATAAGTTGCTAAACTAATGATTAAACATTTAAACCATCCACGACATAAAATAAAGCACACAACTCAACTTTACATGGTTTGGCAACATGGCTACATCCATGGGACCAAGTCCAGAAGAAGCTAATCCACTATGAAATAATTATGTGTTCAATTATAAAGAAAAGAATAAGTATCAGTTGTAAAAACTCCCTGTTTGGACAACACTTCAATCTTCGCTATTTGGTTAAACCTCAAATCTTCATAGTTTAGCTTCTCCTCCACGGGACCACCAGGTTGCACTTGAGCTCCTCTCAAGTTTCAACAATGACAAATTACTTCGGCAGCAGCAGCTCAAACACGTCCATATCTCAACATGGAACAACGTTCCAGAATCAACTCATGCAGTAAGAGATAAAACACGGTAATTCAAAGTCTACCAAAGCATGTCAGAAACATACAAAAACTAAACAACCTCAAAGAAAATATTCAAAGAATAATGGAGGTAAATACTATAGCTACCTTTTTTAAAAAAGTCACAATAATAAAAGGATTATTTATACTTGAGTGACTTTGAAAGGATAAACAAGAAACCAAACCTGTTTTGGAAAGGATTCTTGAGATCCTAGACTCCTTTATAGGAAAGAATTCTTTAATCTATAATCTCTTTATAAGAAAAGAATTCTTAAAATCATAATCTTCTTTTAGGAAAAAGATTCTTGAAATCATAATTAAATAAAATCTTTTCTAGCTCACATAATATATAATATCCACAAAAAATCTTTCCACAACTGGAAATATAATCACATTTAATTAAGGCAGGTGTGATATGCATGAATATTAAAATAAAATCTGTCAGATATGTTGTGATCATTGCGATTTAGTTGTGAACACCTTTAAAGTGAAACTAAATAGATTGTGCACCAATCCGAATGAATAAGTTGACAAAACCAAAGTACTTACAATCTTCCCCTTTGTCAAACTTATGAACAAAGCACAATTTTAAGCAAAACACAATCAGTATCATCAATAAAAAACAGTTTTGCATTAAGTAAAGACCAACTAAACTGAATAACTCCCCCTCAATTAGTATACTCCCCCTGAGTAACGAAACCAAATCACTACCAAGCGATTAATAATCAAAGGCATAAGAGGGTTAGTTTAGTTCTCAATCAATCAATATAAAGTCAGATCACAAACCAACTAATGACTAATTGATTCACTGCACATGAAAGAAACAACATCAGCAAGTTCAATAAGGATCAGCAAACACAATAAATAACCTGCATCAGTAACCACAGTTAATAAAAAAAATCAGCATCAAATCAACTTAAATAAAAACATCATCAAATCGGCTTACATAAAAACATAGAAAACTCTCCTTGAGTGAAACCAGCCAAGGAAGCACAACAAACACAAATAATTCTCCCCCACTTTGTTCATAATGTTTGGCAATCCTAGAAAATTTAGGGACTTGAATAGTGCATGGACTCTAAAAATCAATGTGGGGACATAGAAGAAAAAACCCAAGAGAACAAAAACATGAACTAAAAAACTCAACAGTCATGTGATGACACTTAAATGTTTGTGTGAGCACACTAGGAATCATTTGAGCAAACTGAACCAATTTAGACAATATGTGGTGACCGTCAACACTCATGCGAACACAATGACTCAAGGGGACAACTTCACTCTCAAGGTGGTGAAATACGTACAAAGGCAGCAGATCTTAAACACTTATTCTACTTTGAACAAAAACAACAAAAAAATAAAAATTTATCATGAGATCAATAAAAAATTCACAAAATTTTAAGGAGGCAAATGATACACATCTGTACATATGACATTTTAAACAAGTCTTAATCTTTAACAAAAATGCATAAGGAAAGTCTCTTCCATGTAGTTCAACAATCAAAGTTTCATGACTCAATACATACATGATAGCAATCAACAAGAAAACTTGATCATTTGTGTGTGATGTGTCCTCAAGCGGGTGAATCGTGACACATTAGTCAAATCAAAACAATATATATTATATATCTCCCCTTCTCTCATGCCCCCTTTTTTTCTTTTGAACATAATCTCAAAAAATTTGAATTCTTTTTCATATCAACTGAGATTAAATGGGCAAATTCTCTCAAGAAGTAACTAAGTGTAGCTTTCACACTTACAAGGAGGTAGCCCTCTAAATGGTAGATTTTTCAAAGATATAGGGTTCTCTACATCCTAGAAAATTACTCAAATATGACTTTCACACTCCAAGTAAGGTAGCTCTTTCACAAGGTGATAAAAATCAAGCATTATGCACTCAAGGATGTAAAAAAGTCATTATACTTCAAGAGATGAGAAAAACAAAGTGGACACCACACTCATTGCATACATTTCACGAGAGAGAAATATTTTCAATGACATTCCATAGATCAAATACATTTACAACTCTAAAACAAGAGAATTTTCTCATGATCTAATATAAAAGAAAACATAGTTCTACTCAAGTTGAATCAGTCCAATGGACTTCCTCAAATTCACAAATGCTTGAAAATCTAAAGCCTTTGTAAATAAGTCAGCTAGTTGAGAGTTTGTGTTTACATGTGCAAGAGTTATGACCTTCTCTTCAACTAAGTCTCTAATAAAATGGTGCCTAATGTCAATGTGCTTAGTCGTAGAGTGTTGTACTAGATTCTTAGAAATATTGATTGCACTAGTATTGTCACAGAATACAGTTATACAATCTTGATCAAACCCATAATCACACAACATTTGTTTAAGCCACAAAACTTGTGTACAACAACTTTCTGCAGCAATGTATTCAGCCTTTGCCATTAAGAGTGAAATGGAATTTTGTTTCTTACTGTACCATGTCACCAGATTATTTCCAAGATAAAAACATCCTCTTGATGTACTCTTCCTATCATCCAAACTTCTAGCCCAATCTGCATCACTGCAACCAACCAAGGTAGAGTTAGTATCATATGCAAACCACAAGCCAAAATCACATGTACAGAGACATATTTCATAATTCTCTTTACTACGGTCAGGTGAAGTTCAGTTGGATCAGCCTGAAATCTAGCACAAATACTTACACTAAAACACAAGTCAGGTCTGCTAGCAGTTAAGTACAAAAGACTTCCTATAATGCTTCTAAATAGTTTATTATCTACCTTCTACCCATTTTCATCCTTGGACAATTTAAGTGTAAAACTCATAGGGGTATTAGCATGTTTGGCATTTTCAAGACTAAACCTTTTAAGCATGTTCTTGGCATATTTAGTTTGAGACACAAACATACCATCATCAAATTATATTATTTGAAGTCTTAGAAACATACTCAACTCACCTACCATGCTTATTTCAAATTTATTTTTCATTAAGACTACAAATTCATCCAAATGAGTTTGAGATATGGATCCAAAAATAATGTCATCAACATATATTTGTGCACACAAAAACTCACCATTACAATGCTTAATGAAAAGTGTTTTATCAGCATTACCTTTCTTGTAGTTGCGCTCAAAGGAGAAAGGAGGTAAGCCTCTCATACCATGCTTTTGGGGCCAGTTTCAACTCATACAATGCTTTCTTCAGTTTGAATACATGATCTGGCTTGTGAGGATCCTGAAATCCAACATGTTGCTCCACATACACTTCTTCCATTAGCATGCCATTTAAGAAGGCACTCTTCACATCCATTTGGTAGAGCTTCAACCTTAGACAACAAGCAACATTAAGTAACAATCTGATTGATTCCAATCTGGCCATTGGAGCGAAGGTCTCATCAAAATCTATTCCTTCAACTTGGGTATATCCTTGTGCAACAAGTCCGGCTTTGTTTCTGATGATGTTCCCAAACTCATAAGACTTGTTTTTGAAGATCCACTTGGTTCCTATAACATTTATACCTTCAAGTTGAGGAACCAAGCTCCACACATCGTTTCTCTCAAACTGTTCAAGCTCCTCATGCATAGCAATAATCTAGCAATCATCCTCTAGAGTTTGATTTGCATTCTTTGGTTCTGTAAGAGAAACATATCATAAGTTATTTATTTCATTCAACGTTTTTTCTTCTTGTTACCATTATCTCTTTGGAATTTCCAATCACAATGGATGGTGGATGAGCTTATCCAAGAGGGTGGTTTTTTGGTTTTTGAAGGCTTTTTCTAAGTGATCTCATCAGACAAATCAATTAACAAATTAGGTCATGGCCTTTCAGAAACTAAATCTTGTTTAGGCACTCGCAGTGGTCACATCAGGTTCTGGGGTGATCACCTTAGCTTGATCTTGTGTTCCAATTGGATTCAAAGTGAACATACCATCTTGATTAGTGGTCACCTTAGCAAGGGCAGTCATATC